CTCTCTCTCTCACACACACACACACACACACACTAAACACAGACACTCACTCACACACACACACACACACACACTAAACACAGACACTCTCTCACACACACACACACACACACACTAAACACAGACACTCTCTCACACACACACACACACACACACTAAACACAGACACTCTCTCACACACACACACACACACACACTAAACACAGACACTCTCTCACACACACACACACACACACACTAAACACAGACACTCTCTCACACACACACACACACACACACTAAACACAGACACTCTCTCACACACACACACACACACACACTAAACACAGACACTCTCTCACACACACACACACACACACACTAAACACAGACACTCTCTCACACACACACACACACACACACACACACTAAACACACACACTCACTCACTCATACACACACACACTAAACACACACACACACTAAACACATATACATACACACACACACACACACACACACACACTCACACTGCTGCTGTCAGGCTGAACTTGTGTGTGTGTGTGTTTTCAGGCGGTGCTGATTCAGCATTTATTCGTACTCTTGTGAACTCCAGTGTGAATATGGACGTGCTCACATTCATGAGTCTGAAGCAGAGTGTCATCAACGTGAGTTATTAATTCATTTCTGATGTTAATCTCTCTAAACGAACAGGAAACATTCACATCAATGCACTTTATATTCAGTTACAGGCTTTCTCCTGCAATATTTTATTTAGTGTCACATTTTCAAGAGAAATGTTTAATGAATTACTTTTAGAGTTTTTGTCTTCTATTAATCTAAAATGTCTTCTATAGCTATTTGTTAATTCTATGACTGTAATTACATGTAACACTTTACAATGAGGTTCCATTTGTTGACATGAAAAATATTTCTACAGCATTTCTTACTCAGCTAATGTTAATTTCAGTATTTGCTAATACATTATTAAAATCAGAGGTTGTATGTGTTAATTAATACGGTTTAAGGGACCAGAATGAACATCAACTAACAATGAAGAGTTGTATTTTTATTAACTAACGTTAATGAAGATTAATCAAATACTGTAACAACAAAAGTTTTGCATGTTTATGTTAGTTAATGCATTTGCTAATGTTAATAAGTGATACTAAAAAATACAAACACATACATCACTGAATCTATGGTGAACTGCCTTTAACTGAAACACAGTGTTTGTTATTGTCCTCTTGTGTTATCGGCACACTATTCTCCTGTTTGACTCTGTAGAGCTGCTTTGACACAATCTGTATTGTAGAACGTGCTATAGAAACAAAGGTGACATGACCGACATGCATACACACACATTTGAGAAACCGAAGCAGTTTCACTGGTGACGATCAGCAGTCACACACACTTCTGTTGAGCTGTTTCTCTGCTGTTCAGTACTTCAGCTCATCGTCTGCTCGGCCTCATGAGAAGGACGTTTGTTAATCTTAATAACGCTGCTGTGTGTGTGTGTGTGCAGGTGCTGATCGTGTCTGAGGTGAAGAGTCTGCTGGGTGTGAATGTGGCCGATCTGAAGACGTATGAAAGCGCAGCACAGATTCAGGAGTGGATCAGGCTTCAGCTGCAGGTGGATCTGGACACGCTGCAGATCGGTCTGACGGGGGGCAGGAACTCCAGCGTCACAGAAAGCACCGCCAGCACCACCACTACAGCTAGCAGCAGCACTAAAGCACCGTCAGCCCAGACCGGCACCGCCGCTACCACAGGTACCAGAGACACACGGCGCTTCAGAGAGATCAGGAGAGGGGAGACGGGGCTAGTTGTCACAGTGCAGACTCCAGTGAGATCAATCTCTCTATAGAAAATGAACAAAACACTAAAGTCTGGCCTGCAATAAAAGCTATTGCTCATACATGATACTGTTCATCAACACACACACTAGCAATAGCAAAATACTAACAGTAGAGCACATAAGATTTACCAAAACAGCAAAAACGAAATGGCAGAAATACAGAACCACTGTTTTTACTACTTATATTATAGTAAATAAGTGGTATAAACATTTAAAACGTGACTTGCTTCAAACGTTTTTGAAAAATACTTCTGTCCTGAGAACAGTTCAGCCTTCAAATTCAGTTCAAATCAACGTTCATAATAAAGCAGTGTTATTTTTTACTGTAATATTATAATTTTTGTTAATATTTAGATTTATATTAAAATTTTAGATAAAGTTTTATTAATTTTGTTATGTGTCTGACATTTTATTAGCTGTGTTGTTTTTAAATCTCTATATAGTTTTAGTTATTTTTGTATATCAGTAAACTAAATTAAAATGAGAAATTATGCCTTGGCAGCTTGCTAAAATAAAATGGTTTTCATGTTTTGTTTTGTTTTAGTTAACAATTATTTTAAGTAACAAAAATGTTTTCTATGGTTCTTGTCTTTTTTATGTATTTGGTTTTATTTTGTTCACTTGTTATCCATCAGACGTTACATAAATATGGTGATATTGAATTTTTAGTTTGGAGGACAGAAATTAAAATAGGCGTTAATTTAAAATAGTTTTGATCATTTAAAACCACTGCTAGAGAAAACAGTGAAGAGACTGAGACAAATCCTGTAGATGCTGAAATCAGCCGTGAATGCACTTCATTTCTGTCAAATCCTGAGTTTTTCCTGATCCACTGAGTCCACTGCTCTTCTGCAAATGTTCATCTGCTGATACAGAGCTCACATCTCAACATCTGTGTGTGTCTGCAGCTGCTGGATCCAGAGTCTGGTCACCTGTCTGTCTGCAGCTGCTCCTATTGGCTGTTACCACGACGACGCTGCAGCTGCTGCACTGATGACATCATCATCATCGCTGTACTTCCCGTCTCTTGGTCTGTCTTGTATTTAAAGAGTTTCTGCACTTTCACTTTTCATGAAGTGACATGAACTATTTCTGTGTGGAATTGATGACTAAATCACTCTGGATTGCTGTGGTCACATCTGACTCATTCATATGAAGTTAAAGATTCGACAATGAAATGCTAAATCTCAAATACATTAAAATAACTGAAAAACATCTCAATAATCAATATTTATAAATACAAGGATTTCTGTTTGCTTATGTGAGAGAGACAGATTGAACCCTGCGAAGCATGATCCATGAAGATCAACACGTAAGCTCAGGTTACTCCAGGAGAAAAACTAATGAATGTAATGTCAAACTTTGTATGGATTAAAGCATAAGATAAATAATTGCGCGCTTGTTATCCTGGTTGTCAATTTCACCCATTTAATTAGGCCTAATGTTTAGAGAGTCGGACTTGTGACCCAAAGGTCGAGGGGTTGAGTCTCAGGTCCGGCAGGGATTGTAGGTGGGAGGAGTGAATGTACAGCGCTCTCTCCCACCTTCAATACCACGACTGAGGTGCCGTTGAGCAAGGCACCGAACCCCCAAATGCTCCCCGGGCGCCGCAGCAAAAATGGCTGCCCACTGCTCCGGGTGTGTGTTCACGGTGTGTGTGTGCACTTTGGATGGGTTAAATGCAGAGCACTAATTCTGAGTATGGGTCACCATACTTGGCCACATGTCACGTCACTTTCACTTTAGATGAGTTGTATTTCCTGTTCCTCTTCTTTGTTTCTTCACATAGAGTTCAGTATGGCTGTGTGTAATATTGAGTACTGGGGCCTCATTTATAAAACAAGTGTACGCACAGACTTGATCTTAGAGTGTGCGTCTGTATCTGTCACTCAGATCCAGCACTCTCAGTTGTGAGGGGTTTGAACTCAGAGCTGAAGACAAATAAGCACAGCCTTCTTCTGTCACCATACAGCCGAACAACCTACAGACACACAGTCAGATCATCTACAGACACACACAGTCAGATCATCCAACACAAACACACACACACACACACACACACACACACACACAACCACACACACCAAAAACATATAAAAAACACACACACACACACACACACACACACACACACACACACTCACTCAC